AAAAACCGTTTACATTTCTTTGATCATTATTATCGCACACTTTCCCCCGATTTCGCTGATTTACTATTTTGACCCAGAGAGTTTGTTAACCAAACATTTAAAGCTCAACTTAAGACTCAACCAATACTTAGGTGAAATCGAGTAAATACAGTAGTTTTTTGGTACCTGTTAACGGTTAATGACATGATTTTTTATCGACAGAGAGAGTAAAAAAAGAGATAAGAAAATCCAGAAGAAAGTTTAAAATAGTAAAGTATGTAGGTTATACAAGTGTATACTGTACGAACATTCCGATATATATATATATATATATATATATATATATTTTCTATTCCCCTTTTAAACGTTTGTTTAATGTAGTATATAAGGAAAAAGTCAAAGCCTATGATTAACATTTGAGATTAATTCTATCTACCGATGGTAAAATGTGCAAATATCAACTTTTAGATCATTACATAAACATATATGTTATTCCCTTTTTTATTATTCCTATCCTCTGTTATTGAAAAGTGTTCCTAAATGCAGGAAGAATTTTTTCGGAGAGAAGAGTAAAGTGTTTCAAAACAAGTTACTTTCTTACTTCTTCAAGGCAGTGGCAAACACAATTGGATTGAATTGAATGCTTTTGCTAAGCCCACATCATTAAAGGATGAGAATGTGTTGGAAGTGCCGCGTGTAGCGTGAACAAGTACACATTGAAGACTCTAACAGTGTTTTCTTTATTAGGTACATTTAATCACTTCCGTCCCTCGGTTACATAGTTTGCAAAGGCACCCGCATGATATCATTAGAGAATCACTAAACATGATATCCTTTGCTTTTTCGTTCATAAGCAAATCTTTAGAGAAAGCTGAAAACGTTTCTGACAGACATCATAAATCTCATTTAGCAAAGTAGATGAAATATGCTTATTTTTTCATAAACAAGGCTTTGGACATGTGTCCAAGATGCCTTCCGAGATGAATATAAATTTTCTATTGTTTTAACTGGACTTTGTAGAGGCAAATTAAAGTTCGTCAAGAATTTCTATGAGCAAGTATTCAAGGGTCAAGTTTTCAAAGTTTCACGTTATTTCAATTATTTGTCGAAAATATCCTTGTTTTTGATAGGTTTACCTTTACCTGCCTAAATCTTTTTCCGCGGCGCGAATTAAATCAGATAGAACTGAGAAAGGAAAGAGCGGGTGGTCGCAAACTGTGCGTGCCCCAAGCAACGAGTGTTTTAAGCTTTCAATCGGCTGAGCACTCACTACAGACGACCGTAGTGTCTTGAGAGCGCCGGTTCGGTCGGATCGGTTGCTCATGCGGATTTCGAAAATATTTTAATGGAAAGTTTTGTAATCATTCATTCATTCTTTATAATTTGGAAATACTTGAAAAAAAAAAAGCATTAAGTGAATTAAAATCAAAGAATCGCGACAAACAAGACACAAAAATTACAATACAATTACAAAAGTTGTACGAATCGTGTTGTGGTGAAAAATGTCCGCATTTAATATGTATGTAGTTTTGTTTAAGAAACACATGAATTGTGAAATTATTTAACAAACGCATTAAATCCTTACCAGTCGCGTAATCTTTTAACAAAATTAACTTTTTTTTTTTGTATTTATTTATTTATTTATTTATTTTTTTTTTTTGTAATTTTTGTGGGACATTTTCCCATACAAATAAGAATTTTCATTGGTTAACATCCTAGTTAAGTGTAAATATCCTTTAAACTTCTCAGGGGTAGTATTGTTTTGTTTTGCTCTTCACCACAAATAACAGCACAATTCGGTTTCAGTTGTATGGTGGGGGGTTTATTGACCCTTAATGGTTGAGGGAACAATAAAAAAAATAAAACAAAACGAAAACAAAAGCAAAAACAAGAAAACAAAAAAACAAAAAACCCTTACAATGCTGTCAAAATAAACAGTGTTTTAAAAAAGTGCAGATAATAATAACAAAGAAGAAAAACGAGCAAAAATACAATGCAGCCAGCAAATAGCGTAAATGTTTATAACAACAACGACAACGACAGCAGCAGCACTAGCAGCAACAACATCAACAATAATAATAATGATAATAAACACAATTACGTATATGCAAAAACACAAGTACATACATGCAACTTTGGTTGCTATTATGTAAAAATAACAATAGTTGTAATAAGAACAATGACAACAACAATAGCAACGTTAATAATCACATTTATAAACGCGTAAAAAACTTTAAACATATGCCACAGGAAGAGATCAATGCTTTCGGATACTTGGTCGAACAAAATGAAAGCCGTCCGTATAATTATGACATAATAAGCAAGATAAGCATTTTATTATTATATCGAGCAAGAGGATTCATAAAATTAATGTCTTCACCTACTTGACGTAAGAAAATCAACCAACAATATATTAGAAAATAAGTTTAATTACGTTTCTCTTAAAGCTTTATAGGCGAGAAAGTCCCCAATGCTTACGGGCTGCCGAAGATATTTATGAATGAATAATCTCGCCCTTAAAGATTAGGAAAGCCAAAGAGAGGCAAGGCCTTGAAAGGGAGTAGGCGAAAGACAGACAGACAGGGAGAGAGAGACAGACAGGGAGAGAGAGACAGAGAGGGAGAGAGACATAGACAGGGAGAGAGATACAGACAGACAGAGAGAGAGAGAGAGAGGGTGAGAGAGGGGGAGAGGGAGAGAGAGAGTTAGAAAGTGGGAAGAAGACAGAGAGGAAGATAGGGGAAAGGCGGAACTGTATATTTCGACGCTTTTTCTATCCTGACGGAGAGAGGCAAACAAAGAAAACACTTTGACAAAGGAAGTAAATATTGTCTGTGGTAATTTTTAAAAGCAAATGATATGATAACTGAACAAATGTTTAAAAATATTTCAATGTAAGAACGGCAATTATATGATACGTAAACGGAGAAGAGAAAAAAATTTTTTTTTTTTGTTTTTCCTGACTGTTCTGCTCGAACGTATAGAAAATCAATTTACTTTTCGAGAATTGCTCAAAGTATGCAATAAAAATTTCGTCTTTCTTCTTCTCTCTAGAATTCGAGAAAATCCACAGCTGTACTAATTTTAGTATATATATATATATGAAATATAAATAAAAATCTGCATTAAACCTAGGAAAGAATTCACTTAACCTAATTTACATACGCACGGCTATTAATGAACTAAGATGAGATTCAGAAATCTAATACTACTTTGGCTAGAAGTTAGTTAAAGAAAATAAACGAACTCAAAGTAAACAGATTGCCATGCTTCCTAGATCCCTAGGCCAAACGAAAACGAAAACGAAGATGTATTTCTAGACGCAAGGATGAGCTATGTACTAGACTTGTTTCATGTGGGGCGAGTTGTTCCGCTCAAATATTTCATCGTAACGATCAAAAGAATCATCTCAGGCAAAGTGTATGCAATTCTTCTCTTGTTGATAATGGTCTTATGGGTAATATACCAAAGGAAATCCATGCGATTTTTTTTGCAGAATTCGTTTATGGATACATACATGCACGCGCGTACAAATATATCTGCATAAATATATATATATATATATATATATATATATATGTACATATATATATGAGTGGCTAAGTGCGGTGGCGGTATTCGATTTTGTATGTAAATGAATGTACGTTAAAATATTATTAAAAATTTATATGCCGACAATTTCTACGACAACCACTATATGCATTGTACGAAAATGAGTATGAATTACAATTGGTAACTTAAATATAATAAAATATGTATGTACAGCGTATCCATATATATATACATATATATATAATATTTACTTATAAAACTTATCCGTATCTTTACACAAAATTTACTTGGCAGACTTTTTTTTTATTATCCCACTCTTGGTGGCGCTTAAAGTAAAATTTGTTTAAGTTTTGTGCATTTTTAACTCGTATGAAAGATTAAAGAGAAAATACAATGAATGAATAAAAGCGTTCAATGTTCACATGTTCAGTGTGAATGAAATTATATTGTAATAAATATGTAATTGTTTCTGTTTTAAGGAAATGGTTCTCTGAACGTTTGAATCTGTTAATGACCTTCATTTAAGCGGGATACAATACATTGCGGACAATTGAATTATTAAATTTCATTTGCTAGGATTCCGAATGGCGTATGCATATTACATTAGTGGTAGAGTTAGAAGCAATATTGGCCATGTACGATAGATCGAAGATGTAATTTCAGATTGAATTCTACGGAAGAAAGAACAAGAGGAAGGTATCTGTCTCGTAAAAGTGCCGATTTATAAAGATGTCTGTAAGGGCTCCAGGCTGTTTTCGAACTTTAAACCAATTACAGGTGCGACGATCAGAAAGATATGAACACAAGAAAAGAGATAAGAATAGCCCGTAGCTTAATGGCTGCGTGATCAATCAGTCCGTGTTATACTTTCACTAAGTGAACATTTACTATAGCCACGATCAAGTATGCGCAACTGAGATTTAACACTGACCTGGGCGGTCGCAAATTTCGTTTGCTCGGCTAGTCGTGTTATTCACAGGCAAGTGTAATCCCAGTAAGCATCGATGATAAAGTAACATTCGTTGCGTGCAAAATTTTTCGCCTCCAAATGCTATCTAATCAATTTACTAAAATTAAACTTTGTTGAAAGGCTTGGATATATATATGTCGTATGAGTATGGATTTTAGACCCGAATGTTGACAAATTGAATATTTGTCACGATTTGCGATTAATGCTTTATATAGTGGTTGCTAAATTTTTTTTTTTTATAATCACCATCCTAAGAAGGCGGTTAACCTCATTTTGTTTCTTTTTTTTTTCATTATATATGTAACTTCCAAAACGAAACTTTAGAGACCGTATAAAGTATATATGTTCGTCATCAGGGTGAAATTCTGAATTGATTTGGCCATGTCGGTCCTTGCGTCAACATATGGGTATCAAAGTATATTTCAAGAATGAAATGCAAAATGCATAATAATGGGTGTGGGAGACTCGGCCCCCCTTTTTCTTCTTCTTCTTCTTACTTGTTTGATATATATATACAGTATTATATTTTCGGATACTCATATCTATTGATAATTAATATTTAGCTTTGAGTTGGTTGTCAATTAGAAATATACATTTTCTTAACTGTTAACATACATACATTAGAAAATATTATCAAACACTTGCACAAATATTATATTTTACGCAAATATTATATTTTTCTAAGAATTTTGCTTAGAAATAAAACAGAAACGCAAAAGTTGATTACATCGTAGGAAATATTAATAAAAAAAAAAAAAATAAAAAAATTAAAAATAAAAAAAAAACATATAGAAGAAGAAAAAAAGATAATGGCAAAAGCTACTAAGAAAGTGAACAAAATGGCGTCCTTTAGGCCGTACGATAACTACTACATCGTTACACTAGAGGAACTTCAAGCACGTGAATATAAATGTATGCAACAATTACTGGAATTAAGAGCATGTCTTAATTACATTAATGGTAAGTACAAGTAATTAATTTATAGTTGCTTTCAAATGTAAAGTTGCTTGTAGTGGCTGATAGGCAACAGAAGAGATTGGATGTTAAAGCAGATTTGTTAGAAAAATGGAAGGCCTATGTTCATTGTGATCCATTACCAAAACCCTATTTGACACCCGACATACGAGCATTCTATGAAAGAAAGAAAATTTACGAAAATAGATCTGTTGAAAGGCATATCGATTGGGCTCTACCTATTGATGAACGCAGTATACTCAGTCAAGACGTTGCCAGAGTAGATAAAACGCGTCACGCCGTAGAACAGCTACTAAAAGAAGATTTTGGCCCGGAATACGATAAAAGCGTAAATGAATCAATAAAAGTTATACGAAGTATTGATAGTTACTTGGACAATGACAGTGAATCGCTGAAGGCTAAACGACAACTTCTAGAGGACATTATTGAAGTGAAGAAAAATATACAAAAAGAAATATGTGATTCCTTTAATCGCTACACCTACAGAATTATTTCTTCCGAAGATGTTAATATGAAGTAAGTCGCGTTCTTTCAAAATCGCTCACATTTTCATCCTTTTTTTTTTTTTTCCTTTAAAGTCCAGTGAATGCTTTAACTTTAGAGTATAGTTTCGTTGGTGAAAATTTTGCGATTCATTTATGGTCATTAAAAAATGTACCGATACGTTTTACTCATATACAGTAAGTGATATGTGCAAATATACGTTTGAAAATTCTTCCTCTTTCACCATAAATGTATTGTGTAGGGAACCACGAATGATGGCATATTTGTATAAGCTAAACCTATCTATGCATATTCCTTATTCAATGTTGCGTCAAGGTATGACAATACAAGCAATTCACATGAATTTTGATCACATTAGCGAATATGCGAAAAGTTTTAAACAGGAAATTGCCATGTCCGTGAGATTCCTAAACGCTGGCATTCAAGGTTAGTACTTGTTGCTTTTATGTCGTTGTCTCTATCAAGGTCAAGTTTTTTGTCGCTAAAAAAATCCATAAGGTTGTCTTCTCTTTCGGAATGGCATTCTTTTTTTTTTTTTTGGTTTATAATTAAGATAAAGAAATTTTTTTTAGATTTATCTGAATGCTTAGTCAACGAATTTAAGATGCAACTTGATATTCAGAAGAGGGTTCGCCAAACAATTATGGATAAATATCGAGAATATGAAGAAAAAGTACTTGCGTTAAAGCAAGCTGAGGAAGAAGCGGCAAAGAATCGAAAAAAAAGTCCAAAAAAAATTGTGACACCGAGCAAAATGCCTAAAGCGCCGCAATTTCTAGAAAAAGATGAATTTCCAGATATTTATCCTGATTTTCTTCTCGAAGAACAACAAGAATTTGAACTCTTTATAAATACATTTTATAATCCGAAAATATTTAATTTAAGCTTCGATGAGGTGAGAGACATGCAAATGTGACTTTAATGAACAATAAACTTAATTAATACTGTTACTTGCAGATAAATCTTAAAAAATATTGCATTTTGGGAGGCGTATATCAATTGAATTTCGTGCAGAAACCGAGACAAGCGGCCTTCAATTATGCTGGCATTAATATGACTTGGCATACCGAGGAGCATGAACTAATGATTGAAAAGCATTTGTATATACCCGAGAAACACCTCTTACCCGGTAAACGTTCGCTACGGTATTCTATCAATGAAGAACAAGCCAAAGCTGAGGCGATATCCACTGACACTGGCGTATTAGCCGAGAATATTGATCCGGAAAATCCGTGGTTCGTATTAACGTTTAAATTGCCGGACTATCTGTGTTATTGGAGTGAACCAATAGCCTGTCAATATGAATTGATAGAAGAAATTATCGAAATTACAGAAGAAGCCAGAACATCCGAAGGTGAAATTCAGAGGCAAACAAAACTTTTTCACGACAGAGATTCCGCATTTGAGAAAATTTTGGTCGATGATGTAAATATGGGAAGCATTCTAGTAGCACGGGGTATGTCTCTCGTACCATCTAGATCGAATTATTTTGCCCCCTCAGCTGCGAGTCTGCGCTTGTCGCTGAAGAAAGAGGAACAGCAACATTATGCAGACGATGGCATTCTTTATCTTAATGATTTTAGCTTGAAGCGAAACTTTAACACTGCCCAAGTGCGTAACATTGAGAGGCATTGTGTGCCGCATCTTTTGTCTTCATATAAATTTCCAAAAGAAATTAAAGAAGAGGAAATCCAAGCCGCATTACGCAGTCGACGCAGAGGTACAACTCTTCTTCCCCGCAAAAGGGACGACATTGACGAACTCGAGGAAAAATCGACCCGTTTGTTTACCTTCGACGAAATGCAAACAAATCCGGAACGTTTATACATGTTCTTTAATAAAACCGAAGATTTGTATATTGCCAATCATATACGAGAGTTTCAAGGTCATTTACCTTCGGAACCGGAAACGTTTTATCAATTAGTCAGAACGTTAACATTAGTAAAACGACTTTTTCAATTCAACATACGTCATATATTGGAATTGGAACCGCACAAACCAAAAATAGATTTTCAAACCTATCGACAAAGAAAACTTGAGAAACAGAGAAGGAAAGCAAAAAAACTAGACAAAGCCGATATAGGCACAGATAAAAAGGAGCGTGGTCGATCTACTAGGGCGGCGACTATTAGACCTTCTGCTAGAGCGTCCTCTCGAGCTGTTATGACTCGTGCACCTTCGATTGCATCAAGAAGTCCAGCTGCCAGAGCGTCTGTCCGAACAACTGTCAGATCATCCATAAGGCAAGTTGCAAGACCATCTACAAGATCATCGTCTAGAGGATCGGTTAAACTTGCCGCCAGACGCAGGTCGTCGGTTTCCGTTCGAGCATCTCGCAGGGGAACCATTGGTGGCTTTACAACGCAGGCAACGGGAAAACCACGACGAGTAGAGAAACTCGCTGACTGGGAGGACACCTCATCCAGTGAAGAGAGTATTGATAGAAAGGATGCTATCGCTATCCAAAAAGAGGAAGATACTCCAAAGACTAAGACTATTACATATTCACACTGGACCACAAAATATATCAAAAGGCAAAGTTTTGATAAAGCACAAAATAAATACATTATCGAAACAGACCGATTGGGTAGGTGCAAGGAGAGGAGAAATCATATCGTAATACTTAAGCCCGTCGTCTATTTTTTCATTTCGTATCATAAGATTTCTAATTTTCTTCTTCTTTCATGTCTTCTCTCTCTCTCCCTCTCTCTCTCTCTCTCTTTCTCTGTTCTCTTTATTAGGTTATATAGGTTTTGCTTTTAGACGCTATGAGCATTTTCCATTCAAATATTGGGACCTACAGCCTAGCGAAACAAAGTAAGAGTAAAATTTGAGAATAATAAAAAAAAAAAAAAAACTTTTGTAGCATTTTTCCTTTTTTTTTTTCTTTTTTTCATCTTCGTCATGGTGGTATGGTAGCCCAGAAAATGAGGTGGTTCTTACACTCGATACCCAACATGTGAGATGTGTCTTATATATAACTGGAGAAGGTATACGTGGTCATGTCACAGATCCTAGTAAAAAATTTATACGCAATCCGAAAATGTATTTGGTTATTGATGAACCGCTTAAGGATTATGGTGAATTTAAGCGACGTTTTAAGGAAAAAAATCTTAATATATTTGCCGAGCATGATGCACGCTTTTATATAGAAAATGGTTATTTCTCGGAAAAGCATTTAGCAATGGAATTGCATACGTATTGCTGTATGGCACTTCATAGCACTCAAATGAAATACGGTTTTAGTGAATGGAATCGTTTAAGTAAACGACGTGACATTATTTTAAAATATGTACAATATCAGGATGATCCTCAAAATACGGTAGCAATTCATGTCACCCCTGAAGCGGCGACATTCGTTGATGTACAAGAGTTGTGCTCAATTAACACCGATGATATTAACTTGGCTTTTATCCCTACATGGCGCAATGTTAATGTAAGCATGTACACACATAAAATGCACATACGCGTTATATATATCTATATATATATATATATATATATATATAGATCAAAATCATTTCTCTTATTATTATTTTTTCTTAGCCTTATTGTGATCTACATCAGACAATTTGCTCAATGTATCCTAATGCTATTGATTTACGTTGCCGGAATTCAAAGTTAATTTGCTGCTTGAAATCACTTCTTAGTGAAATACGACCATTAAGCTATTCATAGGATCTCATAAATCTTTAGATCCATAACAATTTGGTTTTTTTTTTTTCTTCAATAATATTAAATTATTAAAAAGAATAAATGAGATTTTCTGGACGAAAGGTGGTTCAAGGTTTAAAAACTTTAATGATTGTATGGCATAGGACACTTGAAAGCGTATGATGATGTGATCGTAGTGAAATCAATAATAATAATATGCGTAGTATTCTCGGAATGTGAAATTTTAAATCGAAAGCAAACACACCGTTCACAACACAACAGACGTCAATTGGTTTTCTAGGGAAAAAGAATTACGCTTTCACAAGAATCGAAGTTGATGTAAATATTGACAGTAATTCCTAACTAAGTGCGGGTATTTGTACAGACGTCCTACACGCTGGAGTTTGTGTGAAACTTTACAAAAAAAAAAAATCGGCCAAGTTGATGCTTTTAAAGCCATATTATAAAAAGCAAAGGCAAATATTTGCACGCGAATGGATAAGATTATGTCCATAGCGGTGTGTGTGGATGTGTGTACGTGCTACAAAAAACAAAAAAAACAACTTTAATTAAAGATACACCGAATTACTTTCTTCGATTTCAATCATCACACTTTCTCTTAGCTAATGATCGCTTTAGCACTTATATGCTGGGCAGTAATTACACAAGTGAAGGATGGTTAACCGAGAAACTAAGACACGCATCTTTTTATTATCTTCAATAAGGAAGAAAGAGATATGCAGGAGTAATCAAAATTAGTTGATAGGTTGATCGAGATTTCAGCAGCCAAAGACAAAAGGATAATATCACGATTCTCGATATCAACCGTAATATAATAATTATAAGAAACAGGGAAAATGTTCTCGCTTAAAATGGAACAGCCGGCATCTCTTTTCCGTCTTTTTAGGAGAATCAAAGAAGAAGAAGAAAAAAAAAAAACGAAGGCAAAAATCAAACTAAAATTAGACAACAATAGGGCAGGCAATACCGCTCTGTACACACCGTGCCGCCTATTCTTAGTGTTTATCACCCGATAAAATACCAAGAATGATATCTTATTATCCGACGGAATGGCCGAAGGGAAAGAATCTCCACTAACAACCCAATAGCCGCGCTTTCAAACCTCAAATGCAGTAGAGTTTTGGACAAATCCGATAGCTTTAGAATGCTATTACTTTGGGGGTTTCATCTTCCTCTGGCTAAATTATTAGTAATAATAATATATTTTCTTTCCTTGCAAAGACTTATTTTTTACGGGAATTTTAGGTGCGCAAATAAATTCACGGGTTGTTTTTTTCAAAGGGAATACACGAAACGAGTTTTCAATATATTATCTACGACTAGATGACTACTTCTACTACGTTTTGGTAGGAATATAAATTCCGCGCTGGCAAGACAAAGGACATATTGAAGTTGTGCGAGGAAAGGCCTACAATTATCGTCATGAGAATGAAGGCACTGCTTGGACGGACTACAATGCAATTGACTTTAACCAGTGTTAACCTAAAGAAGTAACGTCCACTCTACGTTGTGTACGTTCTAAATTACTGCTGCTTAAGATTCTTAGGCAAGTTTTACTGTATAGGTTCGGACGCTGACAAGTCTTAAGATCATGACGTTTGGTGTTTTACGTCATCTATTAACGTTTGGTATATGGGTTCGAATGTTGACAACTCTTAATACCATGACTTTCGACGTTTTGTGCAGACTTTTTTCTCTCGATTATATCGTTTGTTATTAATAGTGTTTCGTAATATATATCTAATTACTGGACTTTAACATATGTAATTTAATATTCTTTCTCTTGCTCAGATTTATATGAAAATTAAGCTTAACATAGTTAATTATTTTAAAAGGAAACACATGTACCTCTAATTATTTAACATAGCAGGCATATATGGTGAATATGAAAATGAGATCCATTGATTTCCCAATGCTATCACAATTAGAAAAAAAAACACTAAGCATTGTTTCAATCATCTGCCAATCATTTTCCTGGAACACTTATAATACAAATTGATTTCGGTTATGAGAATCATGACTAAGAGAAAAATCTTAAATTCGTTTAAAAATTAAAAATAAAAATAAATTTTGCTTAAAATTGGTGACTAGTAAGTGAAAAATACTGTAGTGTCGATATGTAAACTTATGTAGTTAGTAATTGTGCATGCCTCGGAATTTACTCAAAGTTAAACACGTATATATATATATACATATATATATGTAAAGGTTTGTATACAATACAATCGCATCGAACGATAAACGATAAAAGCATCATTTGATGGATACACATACATGTATATATGTGTACATAAATGTATAAATGGGAAAAAAAAAAAAAATAGAGTAAAAATAAAAGCAGAAACAGAGTATAAAATACATTCTATAATGGTCTGTCGGGCAAAAGGGCAAATGACTATTTTATTTTTATAACATGAAAATAATACAATGGCTAACTGATGTTATGTGAGTTTGAGGTTATGTTCTCAGTCATGCCGTTGGACACCGGATACGATAGAATAAATAAACGGAAATGACACCATACACGTGTATTATACATGAATGCAAGCCTGTGCACTGTGGACTGTGCACTGTGCACTGATACAAATGCATTTTTAAATAAACGAATGTTTGCTTTGGTTTTTACTTTTACTGCTGAATGAAAAAGTTGAAACACACATTACAAGACCATAAATTCTAGACTTATAAGAATTCCATTGATGGACATGAATTGAATAACTTATACAATTAAAAATTAGTATATGCTATATACAAGATATGAAACACATTGAAGGGAATTATTTTTACGAATACAATGAATGATGAAATTTGTTGAAGTTTAAAGTTCGTCCATAATACGTTCATAGGCATTAAGGCAATTTTTGTTTTATATATATGTATGTATATATATTTATATATGTATATATATATATATATATTTATATATGTATATATGTATATATATATATATATATTTATATATGTATATATATGTATGTATGTATAAGAGAAAATTTCATTCGTAATTGCGGATTATTGAGTTAGGAAAATTTTATAAAGAGTACTTCTCGGGCCACAAGTGGAAACCATCTCGAACCCGAAAAAGTTCACTTATGTGAAATTGTAAAGGAGCATAAAATGAGCATAATTCCGTAATAAGACGATTTCCCAAGTGTTCTGTGCGTTAATACAAAGGTTTTATCACTTATCAGGACACAATCATAAGCGATTGCTGAGTGTGTTAGGAAAAAATTATTATAGGCTTTCTACTGATCGATTATCAACAAATGTCTGCAAGATTTGACAATAATAAGCGAGAGCATTCCTTGAAGTCAAGTTTTATTGTACATGGTGATCATATAAGAGATCTTCTTTTTTTGAAATCTCAACAAAAGCATTTTCGTTTAATCACTCTGTACAGTCAAATGCGCCTAACGAAATCGCGAAAAAAGCATATAAAAGTAGCTTGTTAAGTGCAATGGTCTAAAGTGCAAAATGAAACGTAAATGAAATAAATAAGAAAAATTTTATTCGCTCTATCCGAATACTGAGCATCTCTAGTGTAGACAAGACTAAAAGAAACAAAATTTCTAATTTTGCTGTTTACGATAATTTAGGTAAGGTAGGCGTGGCTGATTTTCCTCTTTTTCCCTATATATGAAAATTATTGCAATCGTACATATTCCTATTTATAAGTAGTAAGCAAGTAAATCAAAGAGGACAAGTGTTCTCAGTTTATAGGCGTCTTGCGCCATTTTCCTAATCAATCAAGTGAGCAAGATCGCCCAATGTTATTAGCCAATTTGAAACTGCGCCACATCTTACTTTTTGTGAAGTCTAACCACCACAAACATTACACATAGACGGACAACCGGACATTGTTATATTAAGTATATATATATATATGCACTTTATATGGCTTCTGAAGCATTTCTCTGATTGTTGGCAACATTTTCAAAGAAAATTACTATACTAACTATAGGCGTTTAATTAAGAAGACTTAGGTTACTTAGAGAGAAAACCATTCTTCTAATTATTTTTATAAATAAATAATTTATGCTATATATAAAATTTTCATTTATTAATTACAACAAGAGCCTCAGTTGAAACCACATAAATAATCATTCTTTGAAAATCGTTCCAATTGGATGACTCCGCATGCTTGTAATTAAAGAAAGAAACTGGTTTGTTTTTTTTTTTTTTTTTTGTTTTTATGTTGTTTGGTATTTAAGACTTAGGGCAACAACTATGGTCTTCTTCTACTTACTTTGTTGTTATCTTCGTTACTGCAGCTAAGTTAAATTGCATACACATATGCACAAACTACAGAGGGAGATACATTATTCCAGATTAACCGGTATGTGTATGCAGTATGCTGTCTCTGTTCACCTAAAACCCAAAACATACAAACTAAAAATTTAAAATTGGCATCGAAATTGTAATCGCATGACACATCATAAAATGCTTGAAAAAGAATATAAATATATATATTCACATAAACAAGAAAAAAAATATATCTTAAATTCTTAAAGTGCTTACTTAGACATATATTTTTCATTTCTTGTAGAGAGAGAAAGAGAAAGAGAGAGAGAGAGAGAGAGAGAGAAAGAGAGAGAGAGAGAGAGAGAAAAATATAGTGGAGATTCAATTAACGATCAGTAACGGTATTGTGTCCTAGAAAATTTTTCAAATTTTAGGTTAACATTATTTTCTTTATATGCTGACCGATCGATCATTCAACTTCGGAGACGATAATAATCGCATATGTATTTTGGCTGTGTGTTTGGCTGGCGTTTGATTAAAAAATCTATAAAACTAATTATCATCACCTAAATAGTTTTTACCCTTCACTTTTCTATTCGAGGTAAGATTTTTATGAATATATATATATACTGATCGTATTCACAATCATTTAAAGTTGAATTCTACAAAAGCACTTTATAACATTTATTTTGTTGTTATTGTTTAGATATCAATCAAACAACATCCGCGTAATCGTGAATATGTGAGATGGTTGGTAAATAAGAAAAAGAAAAAAAAAAAAGCTTGGAATTAGTCATCGACTGACTTGTGGGCAACATCATCAAATTCAAAGGTTAAGAACCTTTTGACTAGCATGGGAGCCAAACGATACACAATAACTATTAAAAAATTTTAAATCTACGCTTCTATAAAATATTGTACATGAACTAATAAATTAAAAGTGTTTTTTGCAAACTATATCTTAAGAAAATTTAAATGTTTCTCTATTCCATTTAAGTGGCGTTATAAAGTTAATAGTATTTCTACTAAAGCTCTACGAAAATAAAGCATAATTTTGAAAGCTTAAAAATGGTTCGAAGATTGCGTTGTGGGAAAAATAACTCTCTCCGATCAAGCTGTAGTTAATTATTGAATAGTATCGATATTGTAGTCCAATGAATCTCGTCAAGTAAGTTATAATGAATCGAAATTGTGATAAAAGTGGCTGACGTTAGCATTTCTGAAGAACATTTGAAACAGATTTAGGCTAGCAACGCATACTAATAAAATATAATATTCACCGTAAATTTACTTTTCACACTTGCAACTCATCCTTAATTTAATGATTTTAAGCTCAATTACAGACAATATATGGAACATCATTACTGCCTGCAAGACCTGAAAAATATGTATTCGACGTGAATCAAAAACTCTCTAAAGCGAACAATGAAACCTGTTGTTCAATTGCGTCCTGAAAATTTTATTCGACTTATTTTACAAATTTCTATACCCACCAAGAGGTTTAATAAGCCCAAGCATGCGTTTCACAAATTTTGCAATTCGTTACTCTTATCCATGTACAAAGATCAATCAATTTGAAGAATATTCACACGTTTGTGGAACATCGTGGCGTCAGCTTGGAACATAGAAACGTGAAACCGATTTTAAATTGTTCACATGTCGTAAGGATTTCATATTATTCTCTCCGGCAGGTAGTGTGAGCATTAGCATAAAATATACCCGAGAATGGTCTTAGATTTTATTTCACGAGCTCAATTATTAATAATAATAATAATATTTTTAATATAAATATCGCTCAATAAGTTCTTAGGATCGTATGCTACGGCTTAGGTTGGACTGTTGACAGCCAAATGTGACAAAATTTCCTTACATTCCGGCCATTAGTTTAAAAACTTTGGCAGCTGTCTTAGTGAGGGCAGTGACGCATCGGCTAGCATCATTGACCTGAGTCAATAATGTCGACATCTACCAGTCGTTCTACGAACTTTTTAAGTGACTTGTTAAATTTCCTGAGTGTTCCTATAACGATTTTTGAATGAAATTAAGTCTCAGGTGTCTTTCTTCATAGGACGCAGGACGGACGGACATACAGGCGGGATTAATTCCGACTCAAAGGCTTATACGAATATTCTCGCATATATTTTAAGGGTTCTGTAATATGTAATTTTTGGTAATCGCAAGTAGCTGGATATATTTAGTATACCGCAATCTACGATGATGAATATGAAAATTTGATAAGATCTGCGCAAATGTTTGCAGCATTTCTTTCAAAACTACGCATATATGTTTACAAGGATATGAAGGTAAATGAACTAAAGAAAAACGATACACACACACTCACACACACACACACACACACACACAAAGAGACATATATATACATAAATAATTAGTTATCAGGAGAAGACTCATAGAAGCTAACTTGAAGGGAAGCAGTAAAAGAAAAAAAAGATTCATTTTTAGTGATAACAACTTTGAATGAGTAGAATAACAAGTAAAAGTGGTTGTAAAGGATATTTAGCAAACATTATTTTATGTCATTTATTTTGCGACAATAGAAAATATTTTATCAAGATTTTAAGGTGTGTTAAAATATTATTACACAACATTTACTCTTTACATCGAGAAGTATAGAAGATTTTGAATGAATTTCGTAATAAATGAACGAAGAAGAGAAGAATTAAAATGAAAGCACCATAGAAAATAGAAAACAGTATATATATATATATGTATATATATACACGTACGAAAGAATCTCGTATAGGATGAGGAGCATGCTACGCAATAAATGGACGACTTTTGTTTAGTATATCTGCTTGTCACTAGTAAATATATGAAATAAATTGATTGAACTTTAGTTGTTCAGAGGATATGTTAGTAAACTTTAGCAAAATTTTTATTTTGCTATTTTATAATCATTTACGGATTACCCATTACGGACAAATATTGTTAAGCGTGTGGTGTCTGGTTTTGTTTCTTCAAAAATTTCCAACTAATAAATAAATATTTTTACATTAGTCTGGGAAAGAAAGGAAAAACCGAAAACACAATCATGACGCTTGACCTGCTTTATGACGCAGCTGGCGAATCGTATAAAGATTACCAACAATTAGTAAATATTTAGCGGAAAAAGGGATTAACGCCGTGATTGCCGTGATGAGTTGAGATAAGGGTAACTTGCTCCTATATCGGATCAGTACTCCTCTTGTTTAAACACAAATTTCCCTATCCTTGTATTTATAATCTAGCGCAACTCCTTCACGTTTTCTAAAGTCATAACAAACAAATGATTTAAAAAAAAAAGCAACAACTTGTGATAAAAAAATTAAATAAAATATATAAAACACTATACCATCGTTATTGTTGATCACGTGGCGTATGTATAGGTGCATATAGGGGGCAGATATAAAAAGTTGCAAAATGTACATTTTTTATATTTGCTGCGAGCATATTATTATTCATAGTTCGAGTAGTAGCTAAAAATTTTTATATGCTTAAATCTTCTCAACATTACTAGTCTTGTATCGTTTAGGATATAGTAAATCATTCTGAAGGGCAAAATCGTTCAGAACAAACTATATCGTAATGATTTTCATAACTGGGCTCAATACTTTTCATACTAGTTTTTATTATCAGGAAGCAAAAAAAAAAAAAAAATATAGCGGGATTTTTCATAAAGCATAATAACACATACCTGAACGAAAATTCCGCATTTAATGAGTGAAATTTGACTTATCATGAAAATTAGCCGAAAGTCAAGTAGACGTTTTACTTTGCCCATGCAGGTGACAATTGTCGAAATGATTAAGACGGACTAGTAGAACACTTGGCGAAAAAAGGGATTAACACAAAAATGTCACGAAGAAGGTAGGTTAGGTATTTGCAAGTTCCTTGCAAAAGGATATATAAGCACAATATTTGCGGAAGACAAAATCAGTCGAGTCAAGAGAGTTGATTTTCGATATTCAACCGGGAAGACGAGAATAAGAATTAAAGTGTTCTAAATTTAAGTTCCTCACAATTAAATTATAAATAGATCTCTTAAGAGTTGTGAGTAAAAGCTAAGCACTATATAATTGTAATTAAAATCGGTATTCACCGATACGAACTTAGTGCGAAAATAAATTGAATAAAAAGGTAAAATCACAAAGGGCATTTTAAATGTTACAATGGTGTGGGGATTTTTCATTTCGTTCCCCTCGAATTGGTTATAAAGAGCTGAGCAAGAGAGCAAGCCGAAATATATTTGTTTTTTATAAAAATATTTTAACTTTATCATCCACACCAAAAGTATAATTTTTGGCTTTAGTTACTTGGTTTAATTGGTATGTTTTCTCTTTGCTTCTTGTCTCTTTCACAGCAAAAACCATATTTTTTAATATACCTCCGGCAGTAATATTGCTTTCTTACAATCATCATGAATCTCAGACCAACTTCAAAATGCAAAAATCTTCTAACGTTACACCGCTCCGCCATCGCTACTGCCTTAATACAACTTATTCTGCTGCCGCATTTTACTATCTGCACTCATGCGAACTATTCAATGAAATTACGTGAAGATTGCATGGAATTAATAGCCAAATCAAAGTGTCAATGTTCGCCGGTTCTGTCAGACTTTGACGTCAATTGTCCGGCGACAAAACCGAAAATTTCTCTACACATACGATCCAACGTAGATGTACGAATACAATGCAATAACGCCAAAGATTATCAACTATTACCTAATATGACTATTGGCAATTATCCGACAGTACAAATACAAAATTGCCCATTACCTGGGCACCTGTCGATAGCAAGTATCCTTAATCATTTGGGTATACGGAAAGTGAACTCTTTGCTTTTTGACAGTAATGAATTGGGCGCCAATATAACACGTCAGCACTTTGGTGGCCTCACGGGTTTGGGTCGTCTACGTTTCAGTTCATCGCGTTTGCCACATATGCCCGAAGATCTATTTTCTGATGTATCACTACGAAATTTAACCTGGTTAGACTTACGATCAAACAATGTTGAATTGCCAGTTAATATATTTGTGAATTTGGAGAATCTTAATTTCATTGAATTGGGTCACAACAATCTCAAATTACTGCCACCAGGAATATTTCGCATGCAACATAAGCTTGTTGATTTAAATTTGTGGAGCAATCAGTTACGTAATCTAACTAAAGAAACCTTCGAAGGTATACCTTCGTTAACTTCATTAGCCTTACATAACAACGGCATTGAGACTTTTCGTTTAGATGTCTTCGAGCTCCTAACGAATCTTAGTCATATTAATTTAAATGCCAATCATTTTATAAGTTTACCGGAAGGTCTTTTTCAACATAATAAAAATTTAACCGAATTCTGGTTAATATATAATCGTGTTCCTTTAAAACGATTACCCTCGGCTCTACTGGCCAATTTGCCACATTTGCGAGATGTACGGCTAAGCTGCGACTTGGAATATGTGCCCGGGAATTTGTTTAGTAATTCCACGGCAATAACTAATATAACAATCACAGATAATCAGTTAGATAGTCTGCCTGTCGAACTTTTGGAAAATCAATACAATCTCTTAGACTTGGATTTAAGTAAAAATCATTTGATGACCTTAACTGATGGTCTGTTCAGAAATACCGCAAATCTTTTGGCATTAAAATTATCATATAATCGTTTAACGGAGCTTACAAGGTAACTAACTTTACCCAAAATGTTCAAATGTTTCTCTCTCAAACCATATGTTAATACATTTTCTTTATTGCTTTTCTTACTTCGTTTCCAGTGAAATCTTCTCCACTTTGCCAAATTTGCGTTACTTGGATTTAAGTAATAATTTATTAACAACAATAAGTCCAAGTGCTTTCGTTCACACTCGCAATCTGCGCCATATTGACTTGGAAAATAATCGTTTGAGTTTAAGCGAACCCTATATGGAATTAATCGAAAACCATGCTTCGCAAGAATTTGGATCACCGTTCCAATATTTAAGCGAATTGCATACATTGAACTTGAAAAACAATTCGATTATGTATATATTCCGGGACTGGAAATATCTATTATTCGAGTTGGAACAACTCGATCTAAGTTACAATAACATCACTACCTTGGATTACAGTGATTTCCAATATTTAAAGAAACACAATATTTTCTTGAATTTAACTCACAATCAGTTAAGGGCATTGAACTTTCAAAATATAGCCTTTTTAGATATATCAGAGAAAAATAAGAAGATCTTTATGGATATAAATCATAATCCGGTACACTGTGACTGCGTTTTGTTAAGTTTCGTGCAGTTCCTGAGAGGCGAATTGGCTCAAGATATACGTGAACAAATTGATTTGGATACGAAGTGGTTACGATGCTCAGAGCCCGAACGATTAAAAGGCAAAATGGTAAGCGCTTTGGATCCCATGGAGCTATTATGCCCGTTCGATCATGAAGATACGAAAACGAGGCGTTGTCCACGTGGCTGTAATTGTTGGGTACGTTCGTACGATTTAGTCTTGATGGTCATTTGCTCAAATGGTAATCTAACGAAAATCCCGCCTTTACCAAGGCTTGAGCAATTGAAATTAAGTGGGACAGAACTGTATATGGAAAACAATCAAATTGCCAAACTGCCTTTAGCTAAAACACCCGGTTACGCCGATGTCACTAAATTGTTTTTGGCTGGCAATAATTTGACCAAAATTGAAGGCCACTCTCTACCCGCAAAATTAAGTCATCTCGATGTCAGACGTAATCAGTTAACGCATCTAAACATTAGCACTTTGACATTTATGAACGAAAGCCGGTCGCTCTACGCTGTCTACCTCTCCCAAAATTCTTGGCAATGTGATTGTGAGTCTAAGGCACTGTTGCAATCAGTTCAAAGTAATTACCGTTTAATACCCGATCTTTCAAAGATGACATGCTTCGACACAGAACCCCTGAAATACTTTAACGAATTATCTATTACCGACATATGTCCGGCAGATAAAAAGCTTGTCATAGCAGTCGCTGTAGCCATTTCGTTAATTGGCTGCCTTTTCGGTCTCTTAATAGCCTTGTATTACAAATATCAGCAGGAAATTAAGGTTTGGCTGTATGCCCACAATATGTGTTTGTGGTTTGTGACGGAAGAAGATCTGGACAAGGACAAGAAATATGATGCTTTCATTTCGTATTCTCATAAAGATCAGCAGTTTATAGCTGACTACCTGGTGCCACAATTGGAGAATGGTCCAATACCGTTTAAACTATGTGTGCATGTACGTGATTTTATCGTCGGTGATTTTATACCCGATCAAATAATTCGCTCTATAGACGAATCTCGCCGCACTATTGTTGTTTTATCGCAAAACTTTATTGAGTCGATATGGGCTCGTTTGGAATTCAAAACAGCTCATAAGGCTGCACTCAACGAAGGCCGAGCGAGAGTTATTGTAATAATTTACGGCGATATAGGAGATATCGAGAAATTGGAAAGTGATCTGCAAGCTTACTTAAAAACAAATACCTATCTGAAGTGGGGTGATCCGTGGTTCTGGCAGAAATTACGCTATGCAATGCCGCATCCTTCGAATGAAGTTCGTGGTTTAACAAAAGCCGAAGGCCTTAGATGCTAGTGTTTTATAAGACTAAAGTCTTAGAATCGATTCTCTGGCTAAATTTATAATAATAATAATAATAATATATGTAAATGTTTGAAATTGTTTTTGGTTTGTTTTAGAAAGCAACAATTTCAACAAATTCAGTCGAAATTGTAAGAAAAGATAATCGTTACACTCCTCAATAACAATAGATTTTATTAGTAAAAAAATAATGCCTAAATATTTGAGTGAATACAATATTGGATCTCATGAAAAGCTAAGAGGTCGTATTTCCGTTAAAAGCGATTTCAGGCAGCATATTAAATGTACATTCTTACATCGTAAGTCCATAGCATCTGGATACATGGAACAAATAGCTTGACTCAAATCATAAGATAGCTGAAGAAAAAAAAAAAAAACCAAAAATCGATGATAGAATGTAAATCGAAATGGAAAACTATTCGAAAGCATTAGACAGTTTGGTTACGTTTATATTTCGCCATGTAGACGTATACGATAATTTAACTTCTTCACGTTCCTCTGTGCACATCTCGTTAACCTCAACAAAAGTTGTCTCTTCGGGCGTGACATGCATGATTACGCTATTATCGGGATTGTCTTTCCATTGTACGGCTTGTAAAATTATATCACGTCGCTTGGCTAAACGATTCCATTGGCAATGATTAAATTTCATTTCAGAACAATGTACCGTCATACAATTGTAAGTGTGTAATTCCATTGCCAAATGCTTTTCACAAAAATAACCATTTTCTATATAAAAGGTAGCATCATTATCGGGAAATATATTCACATTTTTCTCTTTGAAAATTCTCTTCAATTCTGTACAATCTTTGATCGGTTTATCGATAATTAAATACAATTTCGGATTGACTACATATTGTTGATCATGCAGATAATCAGTAACATATCCACGTACGCCTTGACCGCTCACATGGAATACACACTTAACGTATTGAGTTATTATAGTAAGGACTACTTCGTTAGTCGGACTATTAATCAAATCAAAAAAAAAAAAAAAAAGCAAAAAAAATTCAAAAAATTATTTTCTTCCCCGTTTAACACGTTTAGATTAGGCTTACTCGGCTTCAGCAGGTTGTAAATTCCAATATTTGAAGGGGAAATGTTCGTAACGTTTAAAGGCAAATCCGATATAACCTAAGAAGAGAAATTTTCTGCGTTATGCAACCTATTTCTTATTTCTATTATTATTTAACACACACCCAATCTATCGGTTTCAATCACATATTTCCTTTCTTCCCTATAGAATCTTTCAGTTTTGATATATTTTGTCGTCCAATGAGTATAAGTTACAATTTTCGTTTCTTTCGCATCTTTCGAAGCAGTAGAAATCGCAGTAGTAGTAGTAGTAGCATACGAAGACGATTCACTGCTTGAATCATTTTTAATATCCGGTGTTGCGTTTGGCGAATATTCGACTTTCGCAACTGACTTTGTAGACAACGCCCGCATTGATCCTATCTTTTTCAATGATGATGATTTTGTCACCGGCGATGTCTTTCCTTTATGTTTCGATGCGAATGTTAACATTCTCTTTTGATTTTCTTGTTTAAGCTTTTCTTGAATTCGTATAATATTTGATTCGGTTTTATGTAGTGTTACCGACAATATCCTATTTACGTTATTCTGAATTACTTTTTTTATTATCATCAATGTTCTAATTAATTGATAGAAAGTTTGGGGTTCGTTGCGTGTTTCGCGTCCGTTAGCATAGAAATCTGTATTATGAAGAGTTTTAACAATATAGACAGGTTCCACTTCGTCGTAGATGGCAAAGAATCGTTCAGGATACTTTAGATTTTCGTCGAAGAGATAAGAATGACTCGTTTTGCTTTCCTTTTCTGGCAAATTAACGGCTAGTAGCGAACGGGCTAAAACTTTGGCGGGATTTTTTGTGCTTCGTTTTTTTACGCGAAATTCGTCTTCCTTTTTCTCCTTTTGGAATTGATATGACGGTAATAGCATTGGTACGCAAAATCGCCGAATTTCATGAAGTTGCGGTAAGGTAAGCGAATCCAACTCAAAATCGCGTGCAACATGAAGCGCTGTCTGTTCGTTTGAGAAACTAAATGATACCGTATTGCGTAAACGAGATAATGAAGGAGAGCTGGCGTACAGAGATCGGGATAGGCGCGATCTTTTACGCAATATGTTTTGCATTCCCATTATATGTCTTTGTTCAGCGCTTATATCAATTGACATTTCATTCTTATCATCATTATCGAGTCCTATAAGCGATCTAATTACATTATCTCGCGAATTTTCAACTTTTTCAACTGTCAAAACTTCATCTACCGATTCATAGTGACATGCGATCGGTGAACCCCAGGAGCATAAGTAATCGGGCAAATAAAATGTTAGCACAAACCATGGATTACTTGCGTCAGTTTCGTCCTTGTCCAAAGGCTCATCTACTATATATGCGCTCTTTCTGCTACGTCCGAGCTGGATAACAGATACCTTACTTAAGCGATCACTTTGCGTAAAACGTTTGATTGTCTCCGGTAGAGTGATATGAGAGTCATGTACGCGAAAATCTTTTTCGACAATTAAGTTTTCTCCTTCGCGATGCCAAATCATGTTAGATTTTTGGAAAAAATTAATTTGTTTTGGTTTCTTTACCAAATTTAATTGATAAATACCGCCCAATATTTGAAATTTCTTAAGATTTATCTGTAATTGAAGAATAATGAATGAGAATGTGAATGTGAAACGTACGAAAGGGAGAGTTTTTGAAAAATTTGTTTCTTGTTGTTAATCGTTTATAAGTCACCTCATCGCTTTTTAGATTTAACATTTGAGGATTGTACATAATATTTATGAAACCCAAATATTGATTATGCTCCTCTTCAAGAAAATCATTAAAAACATCGGGATATTGATCATTTTCGCAAGTCTGCGGTTCTTTTGCTCTGAAAGGTTTTATAACCTTCTTCGCTTTCCGGCCTCTTAATATTTGCGAACCCGGTTCCAGATATTTAAGTAGATCTTCTCTATATTTTTGATATTTTTCTTGTATATCATTTCGAACTCTTCTCTGTATATCAATTAGCATTCTATATTCATTTAGCAAGCATTCTCTTAAATCTTGAAAGCAAAACAAATTAATAATGCGTGTATGTAGTACGTCAGTCAGTTAAGTTAAACGAAAGTGAAAAATTACGCTTTTAAACTGACCACAAATACCGGCATTTAATGTTTCCAACGGTACAAATGTGTCTTGTTTCGAACTTTTCGCATTTTTACTTATATGATCAAAATTCATGCGAATACCCTGTATTGTCATCAATGGGCTTAGCGCTGAAAAAGGTATATGCAATTTAAGATCTAACTTATGCAGGTTGGCAATCATGCGAGGCTCACTATAAGTTTGATAAAAAAAAAAAAAAAAAAAATCATTAATAAAGTTGTTTTTTCGTTCATCTTTGCTTTCATCTTTCATTTGAATAACTTACTGCAAATGCGTAAAACGTATCGGGACATTTTTTAAACTCCATATATGAATATCAAAATTGGCGCACGAATGGCGATATTCTAAAGTTATCGGATCCAGTGATCTTTAAAAGATAACAGATAAAACAAGAATAAATTTCAACCTCTCTTTCTCTCACTCTGTCTCTCTCTCTCTCTCTCTCTCTCTCTCTCACTGTAATAACTCACTTCATGTAAATATTTTCGGCAGATATTATTCTATAGGTAAAACGATCGAATACATCGCATATTTCCTGTTCAGTTAGAGCCTTCACATCAATAATGTTTCGAAGTTGGTCCGTTGTAACTTTTGCCGTTTCCGTATCGTCATTCATGAACTTATCGATGCTATGCAATACTTTTAGTTTATCATCAATAGATTTATCGTAATGTGGAGCCAATATATTTTTTTGCACATTGTCTGCCTTCTGTCTACGGGATATATTTTGTGAGAGAATATTGCGATCGTAATCGGGCCAATTACGACGCATACTCTCAAATACATACACATTTTCGCGATATTGATCTTCTAAGTAGAAACCGCGAATTGTGTTTGTCGGATATTGGACGGGTATCTTTTCACAATTTAGATATTTTTTCCATTGATCTAAAAGTGCTTGCAATTTATTTACTTTCTCTACCTGCCGGCTGGACTCTACGGACACAAAAACGTTGCATAAATATTTATACAAAAAACAAAAAAAAAAATAAAAATAAAAAAGAAGTGAACAGAAGTAAGGAGAAGCTTTGCCTTACCGTTCATAATGTTACTGATTAATTTCAATTCATTTAAGCGACTTATATACTTTTCAAAGCGTGCCTTATTTTCCTCGGGCGTTAAAAGTTTATAAACCCGGTTCATATAATTGCTTCTTGAAACCCTTGCCTTACGACCGTTCTGTCTCGGCAAAGCTGGTTTACTTTGCTTCTGTGTAAATTGTTTTCTTTGCTTCGGCATTGTTCGTATATGACCACAATATTCAAAAAAAAAGCAAAAAAAAATATACATATATCTGTATATATATACTAACTAAAATAATATTTCGTCCTCTCTCAAAGAAACTAAAATTGAAACTGATAAAAATTCAAACGAAATTATTTAGGTAAATCAATTTTATGTATGTAGCATTGATACAATGAAAAAAAATATATCATTGGGTGTCTCAGAAAGCATATAATTTTAAATTTATTTTCGAACTTTCACATTTAAACATCTCGCATGATTGTTGTAAGGATATCAACTTAGATTAAATATATCTTTCCGAGTATTCTTAGGAAAGCTATTATTATATGAAATCTTGAAATAAATGCTTAAGCAAAGTTCGCTTCACTTACGTACGGTAGTGCATAGTGTGAGAAATTAATCAATTGGTCAAAAAAGTAGTTGAATACATTTTAGATGACTATCATCGTATTACATGCATACTATGCGAGTTTTCGAAGGACAATAGACGCACAGAATGCACTCACTCGACTCTTTGCTTTACAGTTTTTAAGCATAAGAACTACCCATATATTGGCCAAGTAGAGTTAATGGCTTACCGTCTGGCAACGTATGTTTCTCTTGGAAGCCCGCGATGAGCTTTAGAAAATGTCCCGCTTTTTTTTTATGAAAAAAAGGATATATGTGTTTCCATATATAGTTCTCTGCTAAGCTACCTATCAAACTACTATCCCTATACAATTAATCGTTTTGGTACTAGGAAGTAGTAAAGGGCTGGTGTACAGTGGGAGCTGAGCGTTCTTGTTTTTTTTCTATATATAAAGGGCATTTTCTCGGCGAAGGCCAGTGTATTGAACGTCATTCCAAGAGGCATCAGAGATTTAAAGATAAGATTGGCTTCGTATGCTATCAAAAATTCTATGGAATTTTGCGTAAGTTGAACAGTGTGGGTATCCGCAAGTGCCAGGTTGCCATAAAACATGGATGGCCATGATGTACTTCGCATACGACTACAAAGACAGCGCCCTCTCGCCTGATTTGCTGGCTACAACTCTTTGAGAAGCATCGTAACAATTGTGGTTCATTCTATTTTCGTAAAGACATTAAACGACCAAGTGTTAGATAGGCTTCGGCCCTGAGCAGAGCGGCGCATACGCGATTTCTCCTACCCTAGTGCCTTAGGAGTTGTAGTAGGTCAACTTTCTCTAATCCTTGGGGCCGTCAATAATCTCTTACCCAATTATCTTGTTGTGCGTCGCGCATGCTTCGAGCGCCGTAAGGTTAAAGCTACAATGCAATATACTTACGTTCAATACGATAAGAAAGGAGTACGCGGGTAAATAAGAGTACCTTGTAAGTAAGAGGGTTGGGCAACGAATATCTTATTAAAGATGCGATAAACGGATTGTTTAGATAAATTGAAAAATTAGTTGATTAGTTGTCACACATTTTAGGACTGGTTTTCCCCGACTTGATTTAGTATCTTCTTGTTAAAGTGAGCAAGCGACTGATCATATTAAAACAAAAAAGGGAATTGAAAGTAAGTGAAGAGTTGTTCGGTGGTTTTGTAATTTGACGCGAAGACTTGAAGGTAGGAATTCCACAATATAAGGGTGCAAAGCTGGGAAAAAGAAGGCTACCATCACTTTTCTATAAGAAGAACAAGAAGAAGAAAAAGAAGAACAAGAGGAGGAGGAAGAAGAAGACGAATATACCTCTAAATGTAGTCACAAAAGGGTAAAATAAAATCGAAAGCATTACAACTGCAATACCTTAGTATACCTAGCATTTTATATTAATACTCTGTTCTCGTAACCTGTTACGCAATTACGCCTTCGAAATTATGATTTTGTGCTCAAAATTCAAGTTTTATTAAAGTAGCGATATATTTCCATCTAATAGCGTACATACAATAGCAACTTCATGAGAAGCTAAATGGTCTTATTGCTTGAAGTAGCGATCTAATGCAACAAATTAATTTCGAGTCTTTGCAGCGTGATTCATGTGCGGTTTGATACATTGAACAAATCGTTTGATGCAAGTCATAATAAACCTGAAGGAAATGCAATATAAAGCGAGAAATTATTTATATATATATATATATATATGTATATGTATATATATGTAAAGATAATATAGCAAATATAATAAATTCTTACATTTACATTGCGCCATGTGGGAGTGTAAGCCAATAAAACTTCTTCAATAGAGTTTGAGCAAAGTTCGCTTACCTCAACGAAAGTCGTCTCCTCAGGCGTGACATGTAGTAATACGGTATTGTCGGGATTATCTTTATAATGAATATAATGTAAAATGATATCACGTCGTTTAGCTAAACGATTCCATTTACTATATGTATATATCATTTGGGTGCAATGTAATGCCATACAACAATAAGTATGCATTTCCATGGCTAAATGCTTTTCCGAAAAATCACCATTTTCTATATAAAAGCAAGCATCATGATCGGCAAATATATTAAGATTTCTGTCGCGAAAACGTTTTCTCAATTCTTTAAAATCATTAATCGGTTTCTTGATATATAGATACAGTTTAGGATCGCGTACAAATCTTTTAGATGGCTCCGTAACATATCCGCGTATACCCTCGCTAGTTATAAATAAGACACATTTTACATATTGAGTTTCTAACGTGAATATCACTTCGTTCTCGTTCTCTGCGCTTGGCTGCAACGACCACGATTTAAATGGAAAATGTTCATAGCGTTTGCATGCAAAACCTATATAACCTATTAAGAGAAATGTTGGAGAGTCATCACATGTGCTGCTGTGCTCTTATATTTTAAAAAGCGCCTACCTAACCTATCCGTTTCAATCACATATTTTCGTTCTTCTTTAAGGAAAATTTGTCGTTTAATATGTTGTGTCGTCCAATGATTATAACGAATAACGGTAGTTTTATTCATTTCACCATCGGCAATTGGCTCTAACGAGCTCGATGCTTCTTCGTTATAATCTTCATTACCCGTAAAGCTCACTTCGCCTTGGCTTTTGGTTGGCTTAAACGTTTCTTGGCTTATGTCTTGGCTTTTTTGTCGCGTCGGTTCTCGAAATGATTCTTGAAGTTTAGATTGAGACGGTCCCGATGCCAAACTTTTACTAGTTTCCCTCACTGCAATTGCCGGTTTATGGATTGCTTTTTTTCTCGCTTTCTCCATTTTCAGTCTATTGAACATTGCAAGATCCACCCTTGACTCGTGCGGTGGCAGACGCGTAATTTGCGTGACCGTATTTTGGGCAAGTCTTTTAATTAATATTATTACTTTAACCAATTGATAGAATGTCTTAGGCTCTTCGCTTAGGCTACCGCGGAATGTTTGCAAATGCTTAGTAATATATAATGGTTCCGCTTTTTTGAATATCGGAAATAGACGTTCAGGATTGTTTTGCATATCATTATAAGTAAATAAACGATTGCTTTGCCCAACAATGGATGCGGCTTTTTTAAATAAAATGCCATGCTTTCCTTTAGATGCACTATGTAACGCTTGGTTCACTTCTTCGCTAATTTCTTTCGGAAATTTATATGACGACAATATTTGAGGCGCGCAATGTTGCTCAAGGTAACGCAATTGTCGTACCGTATATGGATTATTTAGAGCAAAATCTTTTTTATGAAAAATTCCATCGGCGGTACGCTCAATCGAATATTGCTCGACCAAGGAAGCTCGTACGTGAGCTAACGGTGTCGAGAAAAAATTCACATCAGAAAGACGAATCGACATAGTTCTTGCCGCTTTCATCAGTTCGCCAATGGTATCCATTGAAAATGCCGATGTATTATCAATTCTTCCAATATTTAACAAGCTATTTACTTGCGCCTGGATTGTTGGTTCTTCTTGCTCCAGTTCCGTAATTGTTTCAGCAGAGGTATAATGACATGCTATTGGTTCACCCCAACTGCATAGATATTCGGGTAATGAAAATGTTAATACAAACCAAGGATTAGTCGGTTCAACTTCATCCTTTAAAGCATCAGTTTCGGGTTGAAGACTTGGTTTAGGTTCATTCAATCGAATTATTGTAGAGCTTCTAACCGATATCGGTCGAAGAGCACTTATAACGAAATTCTTATCTCCATATGATTGTTTGTTAGGCGTATGCCATGTCATATTCAAACCCTTTAAATCGTAATGTGTCGGTCTTTCCACAAGATTTAATTGAAAAATCCCCCCCAAAATGAAAAATTTCTTAAGATTAATCTGTAAAATCGTATACAAATCGTACACTTATAGTTATGCAAGTACTTGATTGCAATTAAGAGGAGAGATTCAATTACCTCATCGCTAGTCAAATTTAGATTTGTAGGATTATAAACAACATTTATAAAACTATTATATTGTTTGCTTTCTTCGTCAAGGAACTCATCATATATTTCTGGGTATTCATCATCTTTAAGAAATTGTGGTTCTCGCAATGGTTTTAACGCTTTTAGAGTTTTGCCTTTATTCTCTTGCGGTTTACGTTGCTTATTTAATGTCGCTTCAGCTTCTTGTAATTGAGTTAATTTTCCTTTGTATTCGTTATATTTTTCCATAATTTCATTACGTACTCTTTTTTGAATGTCGAGTTGCATTTTAAACTCATTAGCCAAACATTCGGGTAAATCTTTAAGAATGAAGGAAGAATAAATGATGATTTTTTTTTTTTTTTTTTTTTTTTAAGCATTTTTTAATATGTAAAAAAAAAAAAAATAAATAAAAGGGAAAGCTGACCTTGAATGCCGGCATTTAGGTGAGCTAATGGTATAAAAAATTCTTGTTTAGCAGTTTTCGCATATTCAGTAATGTGATCAAAATCCATTTGAATCCCTTGCACGGTCAACATAGGACGTAAAACTGAATATGGTATATGCAAAACAATATTTAAATTATGCAAATGGGCCATCATCCGAGGTTCACTGTATACAAAAAAAGACGAGTGGGGAAAAGCGCCTATGTATATATATATATATATATATGTATAATAACAGAAAATAGAAATCATAACTTACGCTAAATGAGTGAAACGTATTGGAACATTTTTTAAGCTCCATATATGAATGCGAAAATTTTCGCTTTTATAGACATATTCGGTTGAGACGGCATCCAATGAACTTTTAATCGATAGGAAAATTTTGCGTGATTTAAATTAGACAGCATTGCATTTACATCATGAAACTTACATCATATTAGCTTTTTCGGTGCATAATATTTTATAAGTGAGACGATCAAAGGCATCAATAATTTCTTTTTGTATTGCTTCTTTCACTTCGATTATATCGAGTAAAACTTCGGACTTGGCTTTCGATGTTTCTTTATCGTTGGCCAAATAATAATCAATTTTGCGTAAAATTTTTAATGAATCGTCAATATATTTATCGTATGAGAAAATTAATTCATTATTTGCCGCTCTCATTAGGGTCGGTCGGGTCCTATCTTCTCTGAAAACGTTTTGCGTAAGAATACTGCGTTCATCAACATACAAATTCCAGTCAATATATTTATCAAGAAGGTCCTCTTCAAATGCTTTAGCTTTTGCATAAAATGTACGTATATTTGGTGGCACATATGCCTTCGGTAACGGATCACATGTTATATACGCCTCCCATTTCTCTAAAAGTAATTGCAACTCGTTCTTCTTCATTTCATCTTTTATTGCATCTACAATAATTAAGAGTTTTTTTCCATACATAATTCACCAAAAAACGGAATGAATTTTGGATTGATTTAAATAATTTGATTAAGTTTGCTTTACCATCAATTAGGAGAAGGCAAGCTCTCAACTCCATTAAACGTTGTGTATACTTTAATTCGTTTGCTTTAACTTCTTCCATCGATGTGGTCTCGTAATGCTTTTGCGGAATTGATTTAACCTTCAATTCTTTCTTCTTCTTATCGTTTGCCATAATTTCTTCAATGTTATTAAATAATTTTCGAAAAGATTTTGCTCTTCTATTATTCTAATTCCCTACTAATACTAAGTACCTACAATAATAATAATAATAATATCTAAATTTCCTTTCGCTAGTCAACCTGTTTAGCGCCCTATTATTAAAAATTAAGCAAAAATATATATAGAGAGACAATGCTACTACTGAATTGAGAAAAATATATGGAACAACTGATTGACATTATTTGAAAAGTAATAAGAAAATTGTTTTTTTTTTTTTTTTTTTTTTTTTTCATAAACCAACATCGGGTGCTTTTGCTCTTTTAATAGTTTCATTTGTTTGTCATATGTTAAGTTTCTACTAAAAATTTGCATACCATGGGAGTGGACTGAGGCAAACAAAACTCACTCTATTTCTGAATTTGTTTTTTAGGGCATTTAAAGGCATTTTAGGGCAAGTAAATATTTAGATTTGTAATCTATCGCGCAAATGGTATGCATAGATAGTTAATTATGGAAAAAGATTTCCAAATGAAAATTCTTCTCGGGAATACAGCAAGCCAAAGTAATCAAAGGGCATAGTTTGATGCTGTATAGCTGAGTAAGTATTGTAACTGACAGGAAATAAATATGCCAAAGCAATGAATACAATACGTTTCTCAAAACGCTCAGTGAAAAGTGAAAGGTTTTTTGACACTCAAAGCTTTATCTCTCTGCTTACTAAAATCACCGAAATCTTTGCTCAAATATTGCTCAAGCGGTGTTTCAAGTTTTTTATTTTTTGATTATCTACGAAATTGGCTGATGTCGCTCTCTCTCTCTCTCTCTCTCTTCCTCTGTCTCTTTCTTTCTCCCTCCCTCCCTCTCCCTCATGCCCAAAACATCGCCTGACTTTGCTTAAAAAATCACTCCATCTGATCTAGATTTCTCAGATCAATTTCGAAGCGTAATTTTTCTTCACATAACGGCTTTGTTTGCTCTTGGGCCAACCAAAATAACTCAATATCTCAGACGTAACGACAAACTGACAACCTTAAGTATAATAACAGGTTGGCCTATCTTAAAGCGTTCGCTGTGTTGTATATATCCACCCAAACATAACATACGTTACGCTTTTACTACAAGTGTTGTAAGATCGACAATATTTTTGGAATTTAAGTTCAGTTTGAACTGCGATATATACGATGGATGTAGTCATTCGTACTTAAAGATTTGAGTTAAATTGAAAAATTTTGCAATAATTTGCGTGAATGTTGTCTGTGTTTTTTAAAAATTCAACTGAATATCAAAACGATGACCAATCGTTTGGGATGTCCTTGGCTATGCATTCCACGTGAGGGAATGCTCAAAGTTGTCGAAAAAGCTGCACAAGCGCTACTTTACTGATGATGAAAGACTTCACTTTTTGCTTATATTAAACCTGCTCGTCATGAAGCTTTCAAAATGATGAGAACCTTTAGCTGCATAAAACTGCTATATACTAAAAAAATGTTTGCTTACTTTAGATACTCATTTCCGAAGTAGAAATGCCAACTATCTCTTTCTGTTTGTAGCATCGAAAAAAATATATATAAAAATAAAAATATATTTTTAATTGATTTTAATCGGTTAGGATTTTAAATTGATTGAAAGTTAGTCCACCTGCTGGAATACTCAAGCAAGCTAAACATTACGGGATTGAACAGAATACGTGCACCATGCCACCTAACTATCAACATATGAGGAATTTATCTATGGCAGAATGAAAAGCTTGGCATACATTACTCTAGCAATATATATCGAGTTGATCAAGTTTTATTTTGACTGCAAGCATATTTGCATTGATAACTAAAGCAATGATGAGGTTTAGGTAAACAAAATCTAAAATTTGAAATTATCTAATAGCAATAATGCAGTAATGCATAAGCGTAACGCTTATGTCGGCTGAGTTCCATTCCGAAGTTGAGAAGCAGGCATCAATTTTCCGCTTGCTATATACAAACATACAATATAAAGCTAAATAACTTTAAAGCGTAGAAACTTTTGTTTCACTTTTTAATGTAAATTAGATTAGGTTCGCGTCTTGGTAAAATGGATTTCTATCTCTAAATATGGACATCTCCAATCATTGACCATAGTGTAGGCATAAAAGTTGTTCTCCATAAAAACACGTTGAAGAAGTTCAGTAGTAGTAGTAGTAATAGTAGTAAGAGTAGGAGTATTTTGGTATTGCTAAACCCAAATGTCCTCGTCATGCATATGAATATACATACATTTGATTTTACAAAAAGTTTGTGATCGCTTTTATCTACGTGGATGATCTCTCCTTTTTGGTTTCAAAAAAAAAAAAAAAAAAAACAAAAAAGAAGAAATTATTCTACGGCGAACTCACTCTTCTGGCGACCACTTTACACAGATGTTTCTGACACTATTGAACGAAACGCATACACTTAGGCAAATATATGTTTTGCTTTTATGTTCATGTATTGTTGTAGATCATATGAGCTCTCATCTACCATCAGAGAATTATAAATTTTGTTTGTTTTGTTGTCGTGGCGAAAAAAGTAAGAGACCTTACTTTGCACATTTGTTTTTTTTTCTCATGCATTGATTCTTTCAAGTGTACATTGCAGTTATTATCGAAATTGAAGTTTTTCGTTTATTACGAACACGAATAAAAAATGAAATTAAAATCATACTCAAGTTTGCATTGTACTGTGTATCCCAACAAGCACAATCATTTCACATATGGATTTCCAAGAAGGTAAATTATATTCCTGAGATATATTCTTTAGTTATCAATTCAAAGAATTCTTTTTTAAATGCTTTTTTCATTGTTTGCAATGATCTGAAAGGGTTTTCACAAATACTTTTGTTTTTAACCAAAAAAAAAAAAAAACAGAGATAAGCAAAAAAAATAATCATATAACACAATACGAATTCTCTTCCTTTTATTTTCATTGCGATTATTTAACAAAAATTCAAATTCAATTTCAAGATCATAATACATTTTTAGAATCATGTGATAAATTAGTAGAGTTCACCTTAATTGATCGGACTGATGTTCATATCAATTTCTAATCTAATCAAACGCAATTTCAATTTAATTGAAATCATATTCGAAATCAAATTGAATTCAATTCAAATTCAATTCAAGTTCAATTCCAAATTGGATTCCTGATACCTTAACTTTATTATGGCTCCAACAAAGAACTTTGTGTTCACACTGCACCATTTTTACACGTCACAGCAAATTTTCGGTAGTTGATTTATTTAATAGAAGAAGAAGAAGATTCTATTAACTTACAAAAATTGTCGAGAGAGTTGGTATTCGGTTATTGATTTATTGAATAGAAGAAGAAGAAAAAGATTCTACATTTTTTCCATCCCACAAAAGTTGTCAAGAGAATTGATTTTCGGTTAATGATTTATTGAATAGAAAAAGAAGAAGAAGATTCTATTACATTTTTTCCGTCCCACAAAAGTTGTCAAGAGTTTGAAAGGCGCACCATTTATTTGTTAACCTAAGGAAATCTTCGAATCTCAATTGGCGATTACATCATCCAAAGGCGATAAGTCGAAATTTTCTTCTATGCCTCGCGGATTACAAGTTCCTTTTGTGAAATCATATATTATATCTAAGCTTTGGGTGTCCTTGACGTATAATACCGATAAATATTTTTCGGCTCTTACTCCATGACAAAGCATCTTTCCATTGATTCTTCGAGACTTTTTTACAATTCCACTTCATTCGTCGAACTTAATTCCGCTTTACTTCTAACCAATCTTGAGACTGAAAATACCGCCCGTGAATAATTCTTGTCGATAGGTTATCTAAGATTTGCCGCTAAACACCTATACCTTTATCCATCTTTTTCTTTTATCCACACCACCTATAGTATAGGGTAATTTAAGTCATAGTGGACGCATGTAACACGCAAAAGGGCTAAATATAGGTCCACCTTTTATTATACCGATCGATTCAGAATCATTTTCCGAATCGATTTAAGTCTCTCCGTCTATCTGATGTCTGTCTATGTATGCAAGTTTTGAGAAATTTGGTACAGTAACGGATTTTGACCCAAGCAAGAACCCTATTGAAAGTGGTTCGGATCGGTCCACTTTTTCGACCACTCCCCACATAACACCCTTTTATGAAAAGTTGTTAAATGGAAAAAAATGCAAGTTTTCTAAAAAAAAAGTTTCTTGAAACTTTGGATCGGCTGGAGCAGTTTTTGAAGTCCCTCTCATAAAACGAGAACTGAAGTGCATACAACAAAAATGTACAATTATCAATGTTCCATGATGAAAATTATAACATAATAATAATTTAAGATAAAAAGATTAACTGTACCAAATTATGACAATTTCGGCCAATTTTTTTGGTCCCATTCTAATAAGAATTTTCACAAAAATTGACCCACAATAGTAATTTCATACAAAAATGAAGTCTACAATATTTGAACCATCTACGTCTATTTTTGGATTGTGCCATATGTAAAGATTTCACAAAAATTGTTGTCTTTTAGGACAGAAAAGGCTTAGTTTCATATTTTTTGATCAAAATTTATGCATAATAATAACTTGATATATAAAACAAGATATAATTTATGTGTTTCACAATACAAATAAATATCATATCAGACAATGTGGTGTAAGGTATTTAGCGGTCGACCTTGCCCGACCATAATGTTCTTATATGTTTTATCTGTTTTTTATTGGCCTTGGTTTTGTGAAGAAGAAAGTCGACATTTAATGTTTTCTCTTTTCCTATGAATTCTTTAGGTTTACACGCATTACTCGAAACGAATATGAAGATGAGAAGTTTGTAATTTTTTTGGGAAAAAATAATACATACTTTTTGTTGTTGTTGTATTCTTGAACTTTTAGATTTCATTGCTATTTTTTCTTTTTTTCATAAAAAAATTTCCAAAGTTTCTCGTCGATCATAAAAACTTATTTTAACTTAAACTTACCTTTTATGGTGTAAGTAATAAAAACTGCAAAAATCTCAATAATCCACGGATTTGAAGGTTTGCACCCTGCCAGTAGAAAAATATAAGAAAAAAGAAAATTAATTTTATAAAAATTCTATTCTATTTTTCATTTAAAAAAAAAAATCGATTTAGTTTAATATAAGGCAGACGAGCACATGTTGCTCGTGCTCAATGGTTTCTTTTTAGTCTAAGAATTTATTTAATTAGTCTAAAAAGTTATAATAA